TACTGAACTCGTACCCACAGAACTGGGGCGCATGAATTTCTCGAGATTAGTACCAAACGGTGTTCAGTTCAATCCACAGGTTGAGCATTCTTTCGGCAAACGGTTCCCAAAAGAAAGAAAAAAACTCATAGTTCGCTTGTTCTAGCTCGCTTGATCCTGGGCCCAAATTTTTGTACAACATTTATAGCGAGATACTGATCTATTCATACCAATGACTTATAGTTGATAATGGAAATTGAATGACCCGGCGGCTCATCATCCAGCAGTCCGCGCGCCCACTGTGCGACCTGTTGCTGTTGCAACACCTGGTATCTTGAGGATCTCTGTAAGGATAACCACCCATATAGTGACACATGTATATCTTCCGCCCCGTTTCCTACCGCAGAACGAACCGACGGCAATTCCCCCCTACGGCCCCTCGTGCATCAGCTTCAGTTCTTGGTGGATTGGGTGCCTCCCGTTGATGAAATTGTGGTGAGAAGTGCAGGCGCCGCGTAGGCCATCCCAGGCTGCGAATATGGTTCGTGCAGGCTCGGGGACACCGCCGGCGAAATGGTGGTGGGATATGAAGGCGGGTGGACCACCTGGTGCTGTGAATACCCTCCGACACCGCCCACACTGCTTGGCAGCGTAACGGCTTGGACTTGGGACGGGGAATACACCGAGCCGGTCTTCTGCTCTGCAGGCGTCGGCGTGACGGGAAGGCCAGTGCCGCCGGCAGGCAGCGGTTGCGGGCGATTACGACGACGACGCAAAAATATAAATATGCCGCTAGCGAGCAGGAAAACTCCACCAACGCTTCCCCCGGCAATCGCACCGATAGGAGTTTTTCGGGTGCGTGTACCGCAAGTCTCTCCGGTGGGACAGCAGTCGCCCGTCGTAAGGCAGTAATAGCTACATAGGTCAACGATCAGCAACGGGAATTTAGCGCTGCAAGTGTACTGGAAACATACCCGATAGGGCAGCAGGTACCCGCTACACGATGGTAAACAACACAGTAATACATGAAAAAGTGTGTCGCAAACCTGAACAGCACTCCTCTCCAAGTAGGCAGCATCCTTGGTTGGGGCACAACCCGTATCCAGGATCGCAGCTCAGCTCCTGGCGAGAATGCAACAGACCCCTGATGACCTTCTCTCGGGACTGGACTTGCTGTTGTTTGAGGGGCAAGACGGGGGTCAGGAGTGCCACAGAGCGACTCTCATCATCCATTGCACCATGGACTCCCGATAGCAGAATTATTAACAACGAGAGACGGGGTAGGGTCCTTAGGGAGAGCATTGGGGAAAATTTCGCAGACACATGAATGCACAGTGCTTTTAACTTCTGATAAATGATGCTGATTGTTCCCTGAATTTAACGACCCGGACCAAACCCGGACAGGTTCCAGACAGGTTCTGCATTTGGCTTAACTGCTATGAGCTGAGCAGAATAGCCTCAGGATAATATATCGTAGCACAATTAGGTCCCCTAGTGACCGTAACGTGGAAGGCTGTAGCGTATAATACATCTCGAATACATCCGCCCACATCGCCACTACACCACTCCAGAACCCAGCATCCTCTAAATCTCCCGGACCAGCGTCACATCGACTCACACAAATAGTATCCTTGTCAACATACAGTGGCAGCCTGTCCATGTCGCTGTTGAAGGCGACCCTGTTTTCCTTGGCGCTTGTTCTAATATCGGACGCTTGATAATCTGAATATCAGACAGGCGATAGGCAGGGAAGGTTGGTGGCTACTCGTATCAGGAAAGGAGACAGATGCACATATTCTGGAGTTGCGGGCTCGGCGGCATAGTCAGACAGAACGGAGGATATGCAAGCTTTATACGCAACATCAAGATCTTGGGTAAACGCCCGGCAAAATTAGAACAGCAGCCGACGAGAACGTTAGCGTGGAAGCCTGTGGTGGCGGGTCCGGTTTAAATTTGCGACTTGTATCCCGGCGCCTCTCACCTGTCGGCTGGTGGCCTCTCAATACCGCGATTCGATCGTGCGCACAGGCTGGTTTGACATGCGGATGTAGATAAAGAGAAAGAAAGGAACGGAGCAAAAGTATGTAGGATGAACAACGGCAGCCCAGTGCTCAAGTTACCTTGCTTGTCAAGGTCTCTCCAACCTCATAATTGCCCCACTTTTGAACGACCTGCCGATCCTAAATCTCCCGAAGTTTCAATACCTTGGATTTACACAAATATTATGTCTACATTACCTATGCAACCAAGCTTCAAGCGCCGCGTGCCTATTTCTCCCAGTACGCTCACGCAGCAGAGTGGGCAAAGCACTAAGTTGCTCTGACAATTTGGCATAGCCTGCTGCAAGCAAGGTCTCTTCCGACTCCGTCGGAGCTCCCTAGTTGGATCTACTGTTGATTTAATGCGGGCGGCATAAGACATTCAGGAAAAATCCATGCGCCAAGCCTAATCCGCGATCAGAGGGCGCCGATTGCATGACAGGTCGAGACAGTGGACAGTGTTGGGAACTTGGTCACCAGGGTTTCAGGAAGAAATATGGCACACCTGTGCTATAGGCACGGTGCAACGACCTACGTAAGTTGTTCTAGTGCACAGGCCATCTTTTCCGAAGACAACTCCTCGATTTGGTTCGTCCGAGATGGCCGAGTTCGTTGAGTCCATGCCAATACCATGAAAGGAAAACCAAACAACACTTCCTGCAGTAGGAAAAAGACAATATCCTTCTAGTGTTGCAGATTAAGCTCTTATTAAGGGTCTTCTTGTTGCTAACCCTTAGGACGGGCAGATGACCAATGTTACCCGGGGTCTGATATACTTGGCTGAGCACCCAGAACCTTACACCAAGACATCTTCCTATTTCTGATACACAAAGGGAACCTGATGTGCTCACGCAAACACCGCAGCTGCTGGGTCATGTGACCGCGTTGCCTGTCAAAATTCGGTGGTGATGGTTCATTGAACAATACATGGGGGGTCCCCCGAAAAAATTTACTGACCTCATGATAAATTCCCTTAAATCTCGAGGTCAAAGGGAGTGACAAAGTAGTACTCTTTGGATAATATCTTCCACATATTCGACACCGAATGGAGATTTGTTGATGGTCAACTGATTTTCCCTGTAAATGTATTGATATAATAGCAGACAAAATCCAACTGTGCCTCTAGTTACACATGCAAGTGGTACTAAATGATGACTATAGTACACCCCCTATGTCCGGTACGCGGCAGTGGCCTGGGTCCGACTGCCCGATAAGGCAATCACCGGCCATCAAACGAGCGTGGTGCTCTGGCTTTCCATAGGTGAGAACATGCTTTCTGAGAGTCCGGAATGGGGCGGGGTGGTGTTCAAATGCTTTGCTTGTCCACCAAGTCTACTTGAAACTCGCACCTGGTCAAAGTTGGTGACCTTGAATATATTTGAATACTCCTGGTACCATATTCCTGGTACCGTCTCAGGTCCCAGGTCTCAAAACGATAATGTAAAAGGTAAAATTTAATTAAAGAACATATTTATTCTTGTCCTCTTGCTCCACACTGTGGGTCTGGTCCCGAAAATCATGTGTCTGATTGCAAAATATAAAGTGTCTTTGGTGTTGACTCCTTGATTATTTTCAACTTTTTTGTGTTCATGATGGCCTCACAGGAATTTGTTGAACTTTATTTTCCACAAAAGTTTTCAAGCACTGGACGGCCAGACCTTGAGTCCCGTTTGAGTCCCGTAGCAGTTTTAATTCGATCGCGGCAACAAAAAGTGATTGTAACCTCCAGATCGGAGGACGCGCCGGGGGACCCATCGTCTTAGCAGGTTGAAAAAGAGAGGCGCGGCACGCGCCGTGAATGGGTAGAAATTTTGCAGGCTAGGTATAGACTTTGTCTATGCCCTGGGATTTGAGTCGTTTAACAGCCTCCTGTGCAGCACAGGCAAACTCTTTCAGCCTGTCAACCAAGCAACCCACAACAAAGTTCGGGCCGCAATAAAGTTAGCCGGCATGTAGCGCACAATTTAAATGGGCAGAACTCTCGCTTTCTGGGTACATAATTGAGTTAGAGCTTGATATTTTATTCATTCCACAGCTCAGTTGTGACCACTTCTGGTGACTGGCAAGCGCCACCAAACTGATGTCTGTTTGTTCCTAGTGCTGGCAAGGTTCGGTTCGAAAATCGGTCCGAACCTGAACCGAACCTGAACTGAACACGATTTTGAGGTTCAGGTTCGGCCAACCCCTGAACTGAACACCGCGTTCAGGTTCAGTGTTCACGCCTCAAGCCGCAACGTCGAACCTGAACCGAACCCCGAACCGAAAGGATTCAAAACTAGTGGGTTTCAGACATATTTGGGGCATTTTGTGGTGAATTCTGACCTTCACTTCTGTAGCTATATGTGAGGTCTATGCCTCTGTAACCCAGGGCCTGACCTGGGTTTGATTTCACCTGAATTTCATGACCCTCCTGTCCAATTTATCAATGCAGAATTTTTCAACCGTGGAATTTTGTTGCTTTAAGGGCCATTTATGCTCTAGAGGATACTCTAGATGCAACTGACAAGGTAAGCAAAAAGAAACATCTAATACTTATCATCGTGGACGACTTTTTTCTTCGCCGAGAGGGCCGAGCTTTGCTCAGGTTCGAACCCGTTCGAACGCCGAACCGAACCTGAACGCAGGTTCAAGCGATGGCTGAACCGGACGCGGCATCAGCAAACCCTGGGCCCACTATAGAGTACTACAGAGCACTCTATAGTGCTGTAGTGTCTGTAGTGAAGGTCCATAGTGTCTGTAGTGAAGGTCCATGTCTATAGAGTGCTCCATAGTAGGCCCCAGGACTATAGAGTGCTCCATAGTAGGGCCCAGGACTATAGAGTGCTCTGTAGTGCAGGGCTCAAACCCAAGAAAAGTAACCTCACCTTCGCCATTCAAGCCCTTCTTTCAACCGGGTTTGAAGTTAAGTGGAACGGAAGTGAGTCTAAAGTACAGGAGGTATTTCGGATTGAACAGATATATAATGTAATTAAAGTATTAGAGTGTTTCCTGACAGGATCGAACTCGCGACCCGCGCAAATTCGGGCAAAATACAAGACTAGATGCACTACCAACTGAGCTAAGATACCATATAGAATTGAAGTACCCACTGTGATAGGTGGGTACCCTCTAATCTCCAGGTCAGTTTACTTCCTGACAAGTAACTCTTCAGGTTCTTGCCTACCGTCAACGTGTTCGACGGTCACTCCCATCTCCTTTGCTGAAAAATGCATATTCTGGAAATTTCTCGAAGGTATATGGGATAAAATATTTGCCAGACTAAAAATAGACCCTGAACGAAAGTTGTAGAGTTCGAAAAGAGCTATAAGTGTTGTCTAGCACAGATTTTCCTTAGACAGTTTCGTTGAGGCAAAAAACGGGAAATACTTTCTCAGACGCGGCGGTTTTGAAAGCCAGAACAAAAAAAAAAGGACTTTCAGTGACTTGAAGGACAAACAGTACTTTGTTCATACAATATGAATTATACCTACTCATTCAGAATGAATTTTGACAGATTATAAGCAGCCACAGTCATGTGAGCTTGAATCGAGTTGGCCCCAACGTTCGGGAAGGTGGCAAATGAAAAGTTAAGAGGAAGAAAACATAAGTTGAATGTTCACTGCAGTGTTGCAGGGGAGTATCACAGAATAGGCCAATTTCAGAGTACTCCAGAGTAATGGTTCGACTACAGAGTGCTCCATAGTAGGGGTCCCAACTACAGAGCACTCTGTAGTAAGGCCCGTACTACAAAGTGCTCTGTAGTAAGGCCGCTACTACAGAGTACTCCGTAGTAGGGGCCCAACTACAGAGTACTCCATAGTAGGGAGCCCAACTACAGAGCACTCTGTAGTACGGGCCTTACTACAGAGTGCTCTGTAGTACTCTGTAGTTGAGCCCCTACTACAGGCCACTACAGGCCACTACCGGCCACTACCGGGAAAATCAGGGTTTGCTGATGGGCGTTCGAGTTCGGCGTCCAGGGAAATGTGCCCTGAACTCAAACCGAACCGAACCTTGCCAGCACTATTTGTTCCTTGTTTGTTCAACACTTGGTCCTGGCTGCAGCCTTCCACACTTCACCTACAGGCTCAAACTAAAGAGAGGTATCCTCAGGGAATGTGCCACGTAGAATTTGGCCCCCAAAGAATTGTTATGGACTTACCAAATTTGGCAGTGATTTGACGGAATAACTCAAAGAAATATTCGCTGCCAACAAATGGGAAAACTGGAAGATCTGTCCAGTACATTCCCTATACATGCTAATGCTGAAGAGATCTTGCACCAAGAGTTTGCTCAGAAAGTGCACAGTCACTGTGTTCCGCTATCACCTAGACTTTGCTAAGTCTAGGTGATCTACACACAGCTACACAGATGCCTCAATCTAGTCGACTAGATACAATCTTTGTAGCTGAGTGTAGGTCTGTGTAGGTCTGGCTAGCTCTGTGTAGGTAAGGATAGGTCGGGCTAGGTACCTAAACTGAACTAGAAAGACTCATTGTAGCCCAATGTGATTTGCTTATAAAGTTGGCTACGTGTAGGAACAATCCACACATTCTTGATGAATCCCAATATTTTCTGTGACCAACTTGTTCGAAACGGGCCACGGCTTTATTCACTTAGTCCCGACTTTGTACCGTGGTTTCCGCATGTTTGAGGCATGCCATTCAGCAATCCTTTTATTTCATTTCTGTACTGGAGGCGACCAGGACCCAGGCAAGGACTCATACTCAACTCAGAAAGGATCGGAATCACGAAATGGCTCAGTGTAGGTGAGTGTATGTATCTAGCCTCACCTAGATTTACCTACACATAGTAAGTCGACTCGGAGTTCACCTACGCGCTATCAGAGCCGTCCGAAGCTAGAAATAAGTTGTGTGCAGTTGCCTAAACAGGATCTGTGTAACCACCCACACTTACCTACGCAGACCCGTGCAAATCTACACAGAGTAAGTTTAGGTGATAGCGGAACACAGTGAGTTGAAGCGCTATGATGGACCAAAGGAGCCCGGACATTTGATCGCATCAACAAAACAAAACACATCTGGCTGGTCTGGCATCAGATCAACCAAGCGCGCCATACCGCCAGAATTGAATCTGGCTGCATAATGACTGGCCTATCGCCATAAAATTTTTGGCAGCCATGCATCTCAGAACGTACTTCTGCCGCCAGAACTTGGCTCAGAATCGACACCATATTTGATTCAAAATTTGGTCAGAATGCTCTCGCGTACTCAGGATCACACGAAAGATAAGGGACAAGCAAATCATATTTGAGATCAGAAGGAGCGGGATCATGTGTCGTTGTAAAAGGAAGAACGATAGACTCGCGGCATCTCACAGATTAGAATAGTTGATTAGAAGAAATAAAGAGAGACTTACGTCGTCATCAGAATCATCCGAACAACGGGTAGGTAGGTAGGTAGGTAGCATTACACGGCACGGTCCAACTCACTAACCCTCCGATTCATGGCCACAGATACGATAATGCCCCGCAAGCAAGGACGAAGCTGAAGCGAAGATCAGCTGTGTCATCCGTTGGCAGATGCGCACCCATACACGTCGACTTTTGACCTCACTGTGATGCTTCCCGATCTGAAGAGGCCGTAGTAATAGAGAATCCGGACAGGACTTGATGAAAATCGCTGTAGGATTTGACACGCCGTGAGAGACACTTGATGAGGAAAAGGGGTTTGGGTTTGAGAGCGAGCCTTGAAGATTGAAGGGAAAGTTCAGGTGGTGGACTTGGAAAGGGACAGAAAGAGTGTAAGTATTGAGCCTTGAGGAACTTGAGGAGTTTCGGGACTTGAATCATTCTGAGAACTGTTGCCATAGAGTGCACAGTAGTACTTCTTGAGACATCCAATTATGATTCTCGAAGCTGGCAGACGAACGAGAAGCAGATTGGGGGTAGCGGAGGAGTGGGGACATGAAGGGAGAGAGCAACGAACCAAATGATCCCATGAAGTCATACCATGACGACCCGGCCAGGACGCGGCCTCGAATCTCCGCATCATGATCGAGCGGCATGTGGAAATGAGTCGTGAGTCAATGTTCTTGGTGAGTGACAGCAAACCACGGAGACGCTCAAGTTGCGCTCAAGAGATGTTTAGCCTGGACTCTGGCGAGAATACACTCATTGAAGCTCATGTGGAGTCGACACACTCAAACTGGAGGTTAAATGAGGTATTAAATGATAATGGAAGAAAATGGTTGAATGCAAGGTCAGATGACTGGCCCGAATATCATTTATGGCTGAATTGCACAAAATGGCAGATCAAAATTTCTGAGGCCGTCTGGTTGGTATGCCCCGGTCAGAGCCGTCAGACAAAACCAGACGGTGCCATGGTCGTCAGAGATATTCTGTTGTGCTGATGAGTCTCAGCCACTTGCCAGTCACCACCACTGCCAAACTTTTTCCAACCTGTCAAACAACGTGCAACAAAGTTCGCTTGCAGAAAAAGTTGGTGATGGCACGGATAATTGTAATCAGCAACTCCACTTTGGGGTTGCTGAGGTTGCTGTAGAAAGTACTTCGCTCTTCCACCAGACCAGCTCAAAATAGATTTGATATAAATCTCTTGGCAGGCGCTAATGTTATACTGCTTAAATGCGCCGACTTGGCTGTGTTCCTTAGGCCACAGCTCTGTGTCCACGATGATCCCCAGTCGTCATCCCCATGCTTCCTTGCCAGTCACCCTACTCTTTCTTCCTTTCGCTCTATGCCATCCTGAATGGGACGCACCAAACCTGGCTATTCCTGGACCATCCTCTGGGTCGGGAAATGCAACGGGTCTCAACCTCAGCAGCAAGAACACCACCTCGCCTCTCGCCTTCGCTCTCAGTCTCTCATCATCCCTTACGCCTCTTCTGATACCGCACGCATTGACGAGTAGACAGGAAGAGGAAGAAGAATGTGTCGTTCCCGGTGATAGTACATATATCCCTTTTGTTTCGTGTCTGGACGCTAATGAGTTTTATTCACCAACAGTACTCTGTGCTGGCGAACAGCGATGCTGTAAACCGGATGAGACCTGCGAACCGACGTTTTGTTGCCCCGACATTGCGGTACGGCACCTGACTTTTTCATTGGTGTCGACGACTCTTGACTTGGTACAAACTAGCAAACCTGTAACAACCCGACTGAAATCTGTTGTGAACCCGGGTAGCTGCTCCTTATCATAATTTCCTCCCATGGACTCATTTGTTATGAAGGGGGCCATGTTGTGGCCGTTCCCCCACGGGGTGTTGTGCACCAGGCGCTACTTGCTGTGAAAACACCAAGTACCCGGTTGTATGCTGCTCTCCGGGAACGGCTTGCCATGTTCTTGGGTACGCATACAGTTGTTACTATTACCCTCCGGTCTCTGGCGGACATTGATTATTTCATCAGGTGCTGTCCCAACACTGCCCAGAAGTGTAACGGAGCAACCTGTTGCGACACGAAGTATGTATATTCAAGCTTCGCTACCATTCGGAACTACCACTGACCAGGGTTCCAGTGCTGTGTGCTGCCCTGGTTCCGAGACGGGCTGCTGTATTCCCGGAGCAGTTTGTTGTGGAGGTGAATGTAGGTTATGTTCCTTGGCAGCTCTCTGAGTGATATTGCAACTCTCATCACACCTAATGATAGGTTGCGCTGCGGGATCAACTTGCGACGACGGCATATGCGGTGGTGTGGAGCATACTCGTTCGGTTTTCTTGTTTAGCCTGACTCTACTGTTTAGCGGCAGACCCGACATTGACTTTCCGGTATTTGAAGGGTCACAACGACGAGGTGCGGAACTTGTTCTCCTCTAAGTTATTGAGGATGTCTTAATCCCATTATTCATAGCTCATCGAGAACATCTGCAGAGGTACGCAGTGATTCCTGGCTTGGGTATCTCGTCGCAATTGGGATCGTTTGTTGCCAGGGATGGGAGGCTCCAACTCCGATACCCTCACCTATTCCGGCCCCGCATCGACTAAAGAGGCCAGGGCAGCGAAAGACGCTAAGCGAGTCAAACAAGGTAAAATTTATGCCATGGGCAGGACAACACTTGATCTCACCTGTATCAGGTTGTACTCCTGGATTATGCGACTGGACAAATAC